CTTTGAGACTTACTAAAAAAAAACAAAAAAAAAAAACAATAACAACTTCAGCTCTCTTATTTAGTGATAGAACTGTCATTCTATCTGTTCCACCGATTCTTTTTATAAACCGTTCTATGGGTTATTTGATATAATTCTCAATCTCTCGTCTACTGATAATTCTTCTTAAAGTTGCATTGTAACTCTACATTGGTAACACACTGTGCATTCAAATGCTCGTCATTCTTCCCAAGTTTTGAGCTACAATTTTTAGTTCAAACAAGAAATGTGATGAATACTTCATCTTTATTATTATCGCTCTAACACCTCGAAAATGGTTGCAAGCACAGTGAGACTGTTGGAGTGTGCTATGCTGAATCATTCGGAGTCACGCCTCAATAGTGTGGGCACATGAAAGCCTTACGCTCCAGAGATAAGGAGAAGAATGAGATGAGCTGACTTTGAAATCTACTCTCGTGGGAGGTTTCTTCATTGCAGACGGTAGCTTAGTAATCCCCCTGTGAAGGTTACTCAATCACAGCAAATCAATGAAACTACTACTAAAGAGAAATGACATCGGCTTCATGATTATTGTGTGTGTGTGTTTATAGACTAACAAGGACAGGAATTCCAAGTAGACCAGAAAGAAAAGGAGAAAATAATACTGCTCAATAATAATAACATGCTGTAATAAAGTATCTCATTACTTACCGTTCTAATATAGGCCTAACTTTTAATGTATATCATTACTTACCGTTCTAATATAGGTCTAACATTTACAGTATATCCTTACTTACCGTTCTAATATAGGTCTAACATCTAAAGTGTCTCATTACTTACTGTTTTAATATAGGCCTAATATTTAAAGTATATCCTTACTTACCGTTCTAATATAGGTCTAACATCTAAAGTGTCTCATTACTTACTGTTTTAATATAGGCCTAACATATAAAGTATATCCTTACTTACCGTTCTAATATAAGCCTAACATTTAAAGTACCTCATTACTTACCGTTCTAATATACTTTAAATGTTAGGCTTATATTAGAACGGTAAGTAATGAGGTACTTTAAATGTTAGGCTTGTATCCTTACTTACCGTTCTAATATAGGTCTAACATCTAAAGTGTCTCATTACTTACTGTTTTAATATAGGCCTAATATTTAAAGTATCTCACTACTTACCATTCTAACTGCAGATGTTTTTTTTTTATCACAAATGTTAGGCCTATTGGTTTATAATGCTTCGCCAACTTACAACGTTTAAACCGTTTCTTTTCTTATGGTTATTTATTTTATACTGAAGCAAGCTTTAAAGACAAGAAGCTAATGTACTTAAATCAAATTTTATTCACTAAACTTTGGACAAGTTTGCTATGTT